CACATCTCATGAAATGTCAAACTACACAGACTGAAACACAGACAATACAAACTACCGAACACACCGAGGTTGAGTGGATGAAAGAGAGAATAATACAGCAAGATGAAAAGCTTGATATCATCATGGCCACCATTACTCAATACAACAATGACATCCAATCATTTCGGGAAACTGCGAATGACGGATACGCAGGCCCGCATTCGCAAAATAATGATGGTGGATCCTGGGCGGAAGTCGTTAATAAGAAAGGGAAAGCTTTCAAGGCCAACAACCCAGCTGCAGCCCCACCCCCATCTAAGTTATCTGAGGCCAGGAGAGTCACGAAAGGAGCATCAAGACATGGTGTTAGGATTCGACCAGCAGCTATCGTGATCGACGCTGCGAGTGAGGAAGATTTTCCTGCTCTGACACAAAAATCAAAAGTGGAATTTCAGTGGGGAACAATATCACAGGGATGAGAAAGACGAAGAAAGGCAGTCTACTTCTGGAGGTGCGTGGAGACCAGGATGCAGTGAACCTGGTAAGATCCGAGGTATCTCGTGCAGTAGGAACCGGTGCAAACGTCAGACAGTTGCAACAGCGTACAATGCTGGAAATCAGAGACATAGACACATGGTCCAACAGGGATGACATCGCTGACTCTATCGCCAACGAGACGTCAGTAAAGAGAGACATGGTGAATGTAGCCAGTCTTAAAAATGTATATGGCAGATCCCAGACAGCACTTGTCCTACTGCCTACCAACGAGGCTAATGCTATTGTCGCCAGTGGTCGAATCAACATAAGTGTTGTCAGCTGTAGAGTCCGTGTAGCCGAGAACCGAAAAAGGCGCTGCTACAGATGATTGGCTTTTGATCACGAATCGAAGGAATGTAGGGGAATGGACAGAAGAAATTGCTGCAGACGGTGTGGTAAAGTAGGGCACTTTGCGAAGGACTGCACCACAGAGGTGAAAGAGGCGGCAACCTTTGGTGAACTTCTTAGGAAGGAAACTCGCAGTAACGGTGAGAGATCATTGGAGGCAGAAGGGATCCTGGCGAAGATGTCCCAGGCGAACCCGCCACACTCAAAATGACAGGCTTCCTACAGGTCAACCTCAACAGAGCAAGAACTACTCAAGCTCTGTTGCTGGAAACGATGTATGAGCAAAATGCAGATGTTGCCATCATTAGTGAACCCAACAAAATCCTAAACAATGACGATTGGTATGGCAGCACAGATCACTCTTGCTGTATACTATTGACAAATAACGTTGAGGTTATTAATAGCGGACAAGGTGAAGGATTCGCATGGGTCGACATCCGGACATGCCGAGTTTACAGCTGCTACTTCTCACCGAGTAAAAAACACTCACTCGATGACTACAGAGCGTACCTGAGTAAACTGAGCGACAGCATTCGACAGGGACCCAGTAAAACTATCGTCGCGGGGGATTTTAACGCCCACTCTCCGGGCTGGGGCTCCCCCACAACGTGTTCCAAAGGGGAAGCATTAATGGAATTTGCGAGCTCCCTTGGACTGATCGTCATAAACCAAGGGAAGGCTCCCACGTACGAGAGTGGTGGTTACTCTTCTCATATCGATGTCACCTTTGCCTCGGCAAGCGCATCGAGGATGATAAACTCATTGCAAGTCCTTGAGCTCGACATGGCAAGTGACCATCATCCAATATTCTTTAGGATGGGAGGTGATGTGAATTCGACCAGCACAAACACGAAAGGGTGGTCATGGAGGCGTCTAGATAAAGATAAACTCACAACGTTCCTAAAAGCTGTCAATCCAGTAGGCCAGATAACGTTCGACGACGCAGGTCTCGTAAACTTCCTAGAAAAAGCATGTGACAGCTGTATGCCCAGAAGATCGTTCAAAGGTCATAAGAAACCGGTACATTGGTGGACGGAGAAGATCGCCAACTTACGTAAGGCAAGCTTCCAAGCCAGAAGAAAATACCAAAAGGCCTGAAAACTTAAAGGACAAGACGATTGCAGTGAGGAACACCAGCTTGCAAAAGACGCATCAAAAGCACTGAGAATAGAAATCAGGAGAAGCCAAGAAAAATGTTGGGCCGATCTGTGCAAGCAAGTTGACACTGATCCTTGGGGCTTGCCCTTCAAACTGATAACCAAGAAACTAATTGGTAGGCGCCAGATCCCAGGCCTTAAACTCCCTGGTAGACTGGATACTATCGTCAACCACATATTCCCTTGCAGCAAACCACCAGTATATCCAGCATTATCGTTCCAACTTCAGGAATCCGAAATGCTTACAACAGCAGAACTTGCGGAGGCAGGGCGCAGTCTGCCTAGAGGGAAGGCACCGGGACCAGACGGCGTACCAGACGAGGTGCTACGGGTCATAGTGCAGGTACGTCCAGACTTGTTGCTACCGACTTTCAACGATTGCTTGAAGAAGGGAGTATTCTTGGACAGCTGGAAGGTAGCAACGCTGGTTCTTCTTCGCAAAGGTGATAAACCTCTGGACCAACTGTCGTCATATAGGCCATTGTGTCTAATAAACTCGGTCGGCAAACTGTTCGAGAGGCTATTAAAAATGAGGATAACACGGCACCTGCTAGGACAACCTGATGGCATCTCTGAGCACCAGTTCGGATTTATGAGAGGTAGATCTACTAATCAGGCGATTGAGGCAGTGATGAACATAGTGAACAAAGTGGGAAGCGGCCAACTTTACAATCGCAAGCTGTGTGCGCTAGCTTTGCTTGATGTGGCTAACGCCTTTAACTCCGCACCATGGGAAAGGATCGATGCTGCTCTAATTAAAAAAAGGGTACCAGCGTATCTCATAAACGTGATAAGATCTTACTTCAACGGGCGGAGAATCATAACCGATGGTGGACAGCGCCTAGTGACTACCGGAGTGCCACAGGGATCGGTCATCGGACCGATTCTATGGAATATTTTTTACGACGAGCTGATGCGGCTAGAACTCCCAGATGGCGTTAATATAGTGTGTTTTGCAGACGACGCGGCAGTGGTGGCCACAGGGTATACCACTCGGCTACTGGAGGAAGCCATGAACGACTCGCTACAGATTGTATCTACGTGGATGAAAAAACAAGGCTTGTCCTTGTCGAGCAGTAAATCCGTGGCAATAATGCTCACAACCAAGCGAGGATACGAAAAGCCTTCATTCCAAATTGGCGAAGACAAAATAACACTTGCGAAGGACATACGATACCTTGGAGTACAGCTTAGCTCCGTACTAGGGTTCAGAAAACATATACAGACAGTCAGCGAAAAGAGCATGGGAACAGCTACAAGACTTTGTCGGCTTATGCCGAATGTTGGAGGACCCATTGCTGAGAAGAGAAAACTACTGATGACGGTCGTACATTCACAGTTGCTGTACGCTGCACCGATCTGGAGCTATGCACTAAAGCACGAGGTAAACAAAAAGAAAATCGCTTCTCCGCAGAGGAATATGGCATTGAGGGTCGCGAGTGCTTACTGCACTGTGTCTAACGTAGCCATAATGGTGATATCTGGTATTTTACCGATACACTTACTTGCTGCGGAAAGAGCAGAAATCGATCAGGCAAAGAAAGACGGAAATGACGTGAAAAAAGTGAAAAAAAGAAGCGAGGGATAGAGCGATGACTAATTGGCAGTGCGAATGGGACCAGAGCAATTCAGGTCGTTGGACATACAGGCTAATACCCCGGATTGATAGGTGGAAGAACAGAAAGTGGGGACAAGTTAACTTCTATGTCACGCAATTCTTGTCAGGACATGGATGTTTCAATGAGTACCTGCTGCGCTGGAAGAAGAGGAACGATGCCGAATGCATGTACTGTGGTGACCCACATGATGATGCTGAACACACGTTCATCGGCTGCGACAGGTGGTGGCAAGAAAGGCGTAATCTGGAAGTGGAGTTGGGGATGGATGTTACACCAGAGCGAATGGTAGATTTCATGCTGCAGTCCAAATCGAAGTGGGATACGATCGTGAAGTACATCACAACAATCATGAAGAGGAAAGAAGCTGATGAGAGGAAAATACAGACGGCAGCTGTTGCGGATTAAGTTAGTTAAGGCAAACTATAATGTGGCTCGAAGAGCAAAAATTACAGGGGTAGAGCCCTGTTACCATGTATATACTTTGTTTGTAAGGGACAGTGAGTGGGGGATTGGCCCACCACCTCCCGACCTGTGATGTAAGTTTGTAAATAAACGATGGTTGACAGGGGTAAGTAGTGTGACGCGAAAGCAAACAGTCCGCCCCTGTCAATCGGTGAAAAAAAAAAAAAAAAAAAGCAAACAGTCCGCCCCTGTCAATCGGTGAAAAAAAAAAAAAAAAAGGTTAGGTTAGGTTAGGTTAGGTTAGGTTCCTAGCCGGGAAGAGGTAAACAAGGCATTCAACGCTATGTATCATCGGGTGACGAGTGGAGACAAGGTGCGAAACACATCCTGTCCAACGGAAAAAATTCAGACCTCCAACTCCGAGACGCAAACGACCTCTCCGCAGGAGACACCGCCTGGGGGCGGGCGCCTCCAAACCAAGGACGCTGGGACGGATACCCCCTGCTGGTGGGACCCCTGCGGCCATACCCAACAGCGGACCGGACGGAGGAAAGTTCCCGAGACTAAAAGGGTAGAAACAACTATTGAAGGAGGAAGTCGACCTCAGAGAGGACCGAGCGTGGAACGCGCGAATCAGTCCCCAGCGGAGGTGGTCCCCCCTTCCAAGGACGAGGAGTTCACGGTAGTGGAATCAAGGAACAAGAAGAAGCGGAAAACGAAGGCAGAAGCTCCAACCATGGCTAATCGAAAGAAGCAAGGCAGACCCTCGGGCAATACCACGTCGGCAGAAGAGTTGGTTAAAAGGCGCTTACCGAAGTCTGAAGCCGTAACTATTGACGAAGTGAAGGAGGGGTCATCTTATGCCGAGGTCATGAAACGGGTAACTTAAAGAGTTAGGCTGCAAGAAATTGGGGTTACAGTTAATAAAGTTCGGCGCACCAGGACTGGCGCAATCCTTATGGAGGTTACGGGGAAAGAAGAGGCGGCAAAGCTGGCCGACAGTGTGCGGTCCGTTGTTGGTGAAATGGCCAGGGTATCAAGACCCAGCAGAAAAACGCCCGTCCTCATTTTGGGTATCCCTGACTGGTTAGAGGAAGAAGAGGTACGGAAGGAGATCGTCGAGGCCGAACGCGAACTGGCATCGGTTGAAATCTCGATAAGACAAAACGACGGTGGCGGTAGAATCGCAAGCTTTGCCGCACCAATGGAGACTGCAGTCAGACTCGCAGAGCGACGCTCTATTCGCATTGGATGGGGGCTATGTAGAGTTAAACTAATTGAGCGAAGACATCCAGTGTGCTTCCGATGCCAAGAACGCGGCCACCTAGCGATGAAATGTAGGGCACAAGAAGTCGCGAAAAAGTGTTTCAGATGTCGGCAAACGGGACATTTAGCTGCCACATGTCCCGGGCCTCCATTTACAGGGCGCAAGGACAGCGAGCTAGAGGGTGGTGGACAGAACGAGTCCACAAGGCCCAGCCCAAATGATTAGCTTCCTGCAAGGAAACTTGAACCACTGCAGAGTGGCTCAGGACCTGCTCACTCAATATATGGTTGAGCAGGAGGTGGACGTCGCGCTATTAAGTGACCCACACAGGGTGGATTCAGGGTCAACAATGTGGCATAGTGACAATGGCACCCAGAGAGCGGCAATACTTATATCGGGCAACGGTATTACAGTGGGAAATATACAGAGGGATTTGGAGTTCGTGTCCGTACGTATCAACGGGGTGCAAGTATACAGTTGTTATGCATCCCCGAACAAGACGCAGGCAGAATTTAACAACTTCTTACAAAGACTGGAGGACAGTGTCAGGGCCGTACCACCCGGAGTTCCCGTGCTTGTCACTGGTGACTTTAACGCCAGATCGGCAGATTGGGGTGACTGGGTTAGCAACCAACGAGGAGGAGAACTTAACGACCTGTTCCAATCGCTGGAACTTGTGATACTGAACACAGGCTCAACTCCAACGTTCAATCGAGGAGCGGGATCTATAGTTGACGTCACCACGGCGTCAAGCACACTGGCTCGAAGAATTGGACATTGGAGGGTAATGACCGATATCTACAATGGCAGTGATCACCACTACATCCAGTTCAGCATGGACTCGAACGAAGAAGGAAATCAACCAATAACCCGCACCAGCGAGCCAATCGGTTGGGATACCTCTGGTGGCATTAATCAGGACCTATTCAAAACCGGTCTCCTCGTCGCAGAATGGCTAGATCAAAGTCGACAACACATAGAGCAGGACGCTGGCACAGAAGCAAGGAGACTTGGGGCAAAAATCGCAGCAGCCTGCGACTTCTCTATCCCCAGGCGGCGGGCTCCTAGACCCGGGAAACCTCCAGTCCATTGGTGGAACCCCGAGATAGCCTCCCTTCGGGCCGACTGTACAAGGGCCAAACGATGCAACGTTAGGATGATATCCCGCATAACCCGCCTCAGACGCAACGCCGCGGCTGACTTTGACGACGAACGGGCCGATGCAGAACTGGCAAGGGCGAAAGAAGTTTTTCGAGAGGCCAAACGGAAACTCAAACACGCGATTCTGAAGAGCAAGAAAAACTGCTGGACTGAGTTGATAGAATCGGTGGACAGAGACCCGTTTGGTAAGCCGTATAAGATGGTCATGCGTAAACTCAGAGGGCCCGCGGCCACCGCCACGATGGAACCTAATACGCTGCAGACAGTTATAAGCACCCTGTTCCCGACGCACCAACCAAGAACGATGGAAGCGCTACAACTTGGTAATGATGTCGAGCCTTTCACAATGTCTGAAGTGAAAGCGGCAATCGACAGGTTCAAATGCCGGAATAAGGCACCTGGACCGGACGGCATTACCAGCAAAATTCTATGGGAAGTGCACAAGGCCGAGCCAAGGCTTCTGTACGATGTATATAACCTCTGCATCCGCAGTGGAACATTCCCGGCGGTATGGAAGAAGGCACGGGTGGTGCTACTGAGGAAAGGGAGCAAACCGGAAGGGGTACCATCTTCCTACCGTCCACTCTGTCTTCTGAACGATGTCGGCAAGTTGCTGGAATTTCTACTGGCGAGCAGGCTAGAGGCACACATCAGCAGTCGGGGTGGCCTTGCATCCAATCAGTATGGGTTCAAAAGGAACCTTTCTACCGACGATGCCGTTCACAAGCTCAATTGGACAATAAATACGGAGATCAACAACGGCAACTTTTGCTTGGCAGTGGGGATTGATATCAAAAACGCATTTAATTCAGTGGGATGGAGTGATGTCACGGCATCCCTCAGCTCATGGGACGTACCCCGGTATCTGAGGAACATATTTGGCTCCTACTTTTCCCACAGGTCGGGGACGGTAGAGTCAATATCCTCGCCGGGAGGAGAAATGGAAGTTGTCATCACCGGAGGCGTCCCACAGGGATCAGTAGTCGGGCCGCTCCTGTGGAATATGACGTTTGACACGGTGTTGAGGGAAACACTGCCCGTGGGGGTCACAATGCTCGGTTTTGCAGATGACACTCTCGTGGTGGTAGCAGCGAAAACCATCAGTGACCTGGAAGAACTGGCCAACAAGACACTGGACCAGGTTGCGGGGAAGATTAATCAACTAGGACTGGATATCGCAGCAGAGAAGACGGAAGCAGTACTCTTCACCAATAGGTACAAGTACACAATCCCCAGGGTGAGAATATGTGGAACTTATATCACACTGACCGACCAAATGACATACCTGGGCATTGTCATCGACAAATCTTGCTTATTCAAGGCTCATATTAGAAAAGCGACAGAAAAAGCGGACAGGATCAGTGCCCAGCTTGCAAGGCTCATGCCGAATATAGGGGGACCCCGAGAACATAGACGCCGCCTACTAGCGTCTGTCGTGCACTCGGTTCTCTTGTATGGGGCACCAAGCTGGGCGGGCACACTGAAATACGTGCCAAACAATAGAGTACTGCTAAACAGATCGCAGCGGAAGGTGCTGCTCCGAAGTACTTGCGCGTACAGAACGGTACCGGAAACAGCAGCCAATATATTGGCGGCCACCGCCCCAGCGGACCTGATGGCTAGAGAGAGAGAGGCCGAATTCGTGAAGAGACGCCAACTGACCCAGCAAGAGAACACGGGTTCCTCAAGGGACAAGACATTTGACAGATGGCAAAGAAGAATAGGAGTCGCTACTACCGGAGAATGGACTAGGCTACTCATTGGAGACATCAGGGCATGGTGCGACCGTCCACATGGCCAACTGACGTTCCATATGACACAGCTACTTAGCAACCATGGGTGCTTCGGCGAATATCTGTGGAAAATCGGTAAAGAAGAAACGCCAGCCTGCCACCACTGCCAAACCGATAAAGACGACGCCCGCCACACCCTACTGCGCTGCAACGCCTGGGACGTGGAAAGAACAGCACTGGCAAGAGAGCTAGGTGGAGCAGTGGACACGAGGTCCCTCATCGAAGCAGCCATCCGCGATCGTTCCTGTTGGACAGCGCTGGAGACATACGCCAGAGTAGTCATGGTGGCAAAGGAAACTGCCGAAAGAATCCGCAGGGGTGAGCAACTGGCCATACCATAGTGGCGGCGGGCGAGCACGAAGCTATATTGATTTTTAGTTAAGAATTTTCAATTTGTGGGCCGAAGGCCAATATTTACGGGAGGGTTAGAGGCCCTCCATATTTGTATTATTAATAATATATAGTATGATGTAATTGTTTTTTGATATTATTAATAAACGATGTAGGGGAGCTGGCGAATTGCCCAACAAGGTATTTCCGGCCCCCTGCGATAAGAAACAAAAAAAAAAAAAAAAAGATTAGGGTAGGGTTGGGTTCCCCCCCGACGGGACCCACCTTGACGTGGTGGGGGGGCTCACCGACTTCGTTCGGTGCCAAGAGGTACCCAACTCCCCGGCTCTGACTTTAACTAGTCGGAGTCGGAGCCTTCAGAGCCACCACTGACCTTGGTTGATTGGTGGTGGCAGGTATGGTGCAACCTGCTAGCCATTAGCAAAGCCCCCTGGAAGGAAACCAGGTTAATAAATAACTGAGCTGGCCCAGACCTAACACGTTGGGGTTGGCAGGGCTGGTCCACCTGCTACCTACAACAAACGGACCCAGAAGGAAAACTGTAAGACCACCGACAGATCTAGCCCGTACCTAATCCGTTGGGGCTGGAAGGACTGGTTCACCTGCTACCACAAGCGAACGGACCCAGAAGGAAACTGCAAACCCCCCTTGTGTCGGGCAAGTCACCTCCGGGGGGCCTGATCACCCCTCCGGGGTCCCAGAGGATCTGGACAACGGCGGAAACAAGACAACCGACGCGAGACTGGCGTCGGCGGTGGCAAACAAGTCATTTACTTTCACAATCATGAATAACAACATAAACAGAGAAGATGTTACTGCTCCAGGGAAATCGGAAGCCCAGAAGCCGGCGGTTGGGGGACGGTGCTCGCCCCAGGTGTCGTCATCACCCGCAAGCACCCAAAGTGTAGAAGTTCTGAGGCAGGCTTCTACCGCCAGCAACGGAGCTGGTAAAACAACTGCCGGAGAGGGTGCGAAACAGGCCCTCTCCAGTGGCCGAAAAGCCACTGAGGAGACTGCAGGTACCTCACTACGGGCAGAAGCCGAGGCAAAGTACGCCAAACTTCTGGAGTCCTTGCTGACGTGTATGGAAACACTAGAAGCAGCTGTCCAAGCGGCCTCCAACACAAAGCTAGATATAAAAACGGCGACAAGATCAATGGGTGCAACCATCAGAGAATTCACTGGAATTGCTAAAACACTGGGCATGGTCAGGAACCCGGACGCTGTAGAAAATCGCATAAGGCTACTACAGCATCAACAGTTGCAGCAACACGCGCAGACGATCAAGTTACTGAAAGAAATTCGCGAGGAACAGACGTCACAGTTGATTAACGTCGCGCAGGCTCCAACTTACAGCGATACCCCGCTTAAACAGCTGGAGGCAGTCAGCTTTCAACTGGCGGAGCAAGGCAAGAAGATAGACTTGGAGTACAGCCAGACCCTACAACTGAGAGAGCAGGTAAACGCGTTCATGCAAGGCCAGCAGCAGGACCCCCAGCAGTTACAACACAAGCGTAATGCTTGTCCTAGTGCACCAACTCCACAACATACAGAGGTTGCTGAGTCGCCAGCCGACGAGCCAGCTTCTGCCTGGACAACTGTTGTAAAGGGAAAGCCAAAGAAGCCCAAAGCGACAACACCTGTGCCGCAGAGAACAAGGGCACGCCCAACAGCGATTATGGTGAATATTGAGAACCAGAACGATTTCCCAGCATTGGCAAAGAGGGTCAAGAACGGGGTTAACGGCGATACTGTAGGCGATGCGATAACTGGTATGAGGAAAACCAAAGGCGGAGCCCTACTACTAGAAATACGTGGCGACCAGACAGTAGTCGACTCAGTGAAGGCTGAAATAACCAAAGCAGCTGGCGACGCTGCTTGCGTCAGCTTGCTGCAGCAGAAAACTCTGGTGGAAATCCGGGACATAGACCCTTGGTCCGATAAAGATGAAATATCCGACTCTATCTCCCACAATACAGGCATCCCAAGAGATATGGTAAAGGTTGTGGGACTGAGGTCAGTGTACGGCAGATCCCAGACTGCTCTGGTACTCCTGCCGTTCCATCAAGCGAATGGGCTGATTGCCAAAGAACGCGTGCGGATCGGCCTTGTCAGCTGTCGTCTAAAAATCGCCGGAAAGAGAAGGCCTAGGTGTTTTAGATGCCTGGTCTTCGGCCACGAAGCTGGACAGTGTGGTGACGGTCCGGACAGGCGGGAATGCTGCAGAAGATGTGGAAAGGCAGGGCATAAAGCAGCAGACTGCCAAGCGACTATCGAGGAGTCGAAAATTTTCCAGAAAAAGCTTGATGTAGAGTCGAAGAGGACGCAGAGCGTGACTACGCTAGTGCGCACCGCTAACGAAGGATGATGAAAGTACTCCAGATAAACATTGGAGTGTGCAAGGCGGCCCAGGAGCTTGCGATGGTTACTGCCAATGAAATTAGAGCGGATGTACTCATCATCAGCGAACAACATCGCAACCGTGATGAGGACTGCGGTTGGTACTCCGACGTGAATGGCAGGGCAGCGATAGCCATCTTGAGCGACATCTCGATCGACAAAATAGGCCCGCCATCACCGGGCTTCAGATGGTTGGAGATAAAGGGCTACCGAGTGTACAGCTGCTACATCTCCCCAAACGTAAATGTTCTCGAATTCGAGGGATTCCTGGCCAGACTAGAGGCGAGCGTGAGGGGAGCCAACTGCCCCGTGGTCATCGCCGGTGACTTTAATTCAAAGTCTCCAGAATGGGGCAGCCCAAAAGAAGACCCCAGAGGAAGAGCCCTAGCAGACATGGTAGCAGCTCTAGGATTGGTGGTATGTAATGAGGGCAACAAACCAACTTTTGTGAGAGGTGCCTCTGAATCACATCTGGACCTCACTTTGACTACTCAAACTGCAGTGACATCTATAACCGGTTGGAAAATACTGGACGAAGAATCACTAAGCCTGCATAAATACATAATGTTCGATGTTAATGCACCTCGCGGGTACCAACAGATCAGAGACAAAAAGGGTTGGGCATATAGAAAGTTAGACTACGCCAAACTACATGAGAAACTCTCCTGTGGAGCGCCGACGCTACCGGATGATGTCGGAAGCGCGTGCAACCAGGTAGTGGCGTGGCTCACCGAAACATGTGATGCGTGCATGCCCCGCGCCGGTGGTAGCCCAAAAAGGCGCCCGATTTTCTGGTGGAATGAGGGCATAGCGGAGCAACGCAGGATTTGTCTGAAGGCAAGAAGACTTTACACCAGAAAAAGGAAGAAGGCAGGTGAGGCCGGTAGCATCACCGAAAGAGAAAACTTCAAGCAACAAAGAAAAGAGCTGACGTTGAAAATCATCGATGCCAAGGACAAGAAATGGAACGAGTTGTGTGCGAAAGTAGATGCCGATCCATGGGGGATCCCCTACAAGATAGTGATGAAAACGCTATCACGTAGGAAACCCATACCCGGTCTCGAGATCCCAGGTCGATTGAATACCATCGTAAACACGCTCTTCCCACGCAGTCCCATCAGTGTGGGACCATCAACAACGGTCAGTAATGAGGAACTAGAGTTATACAGATTCACGGATTTCGAGTTGAAAGCAGCAGCCCGAGGTCTACCCGGGGGCAAGGCACCGGGACCTGATGGTATACCTAATGAAGTTCTAAAGATGGCAGTAAAAATGTACCCATCATACTTTGCTGAACTATTCAATTTCTGTATAAAACACGCTTCCTTCCCATCGGAGTGGAAAACTGCACGTCTAGTGCTTTTACACAAACCGGGAAGACCCTTGGACGACCCATCAGCATATCGACCGCTCTGTATGTTAGATACAACGAGCAAACTATTCGAGAAGCTCATAACACTCAGACTTCGTGAGCACCTAAGAGACTCAGGTCAACAATCTGAAAATCAGTATGGGTTTAGGCCCGGAAAATCAACGGTTGACGCAATGGCCAGACTTCAAACCATAATTGAAAATTCCAAAGGCCGTACAAGTGCTTACAACAAATTTGTCGGTATGCTAACGTTAGATGTTAAAAATGCCTTTAACAGTGCCTCATGGGACTCCATCCTTGGAGCATTAGTAAAGGCTCAAACACCGAAATACTTGCAGAACATCCTTGGACAATACCTAAACAATAGGCACATTATTTTCAACAGTACCGACGGGACATCGAACATCATCGAAGTGAGCTGTGGTGTCCCACAAGGGTCGGTCTTGGGACCCGATCTATGGAACGTGATGTACGACGGCTTATTGGAGATAAAACTGCCTGAAGACACAGAAATAATTGCTTTCGCTGATGACGTCGCCATAGTATGCACAGCGCAGGTCCCGTTCCTATTGGAGGAGAGGCTCGGTGTGGCGCTCCGGGACGTAGTTACTTGGATGAACAACAACGGTTTGGAGTTAGCCCTGCAAAAAACCGAGGCCATTGTGTTCACTAACAAGAATGTACGAAATACAATGACCGTCGAATTCCCACCCTTCCGTTTCGAGTCGTCTAAGAGCGTGAAATACCTTGGGGTCCACTTCGACCAAAAGCTACGTTTTGCACACCACGCCAAACTAGCAGCGAAACGAGCATTGGAAGCGGCCAATCATCTAACGCGAATCCTACCCAACTTGAGAGGTGCGAAACAGAAAACGAGACGTGTGTTGGCTACAGTGGTTACGTCAAGACTTTTATATGGAGCACCGATATGGAAATCAACAATCACAGCAGGAGCGATGGGCCACATGGAGACGGTGTACAGGAGGGCTATGTTGAGAGTTGCGTGCTGCTACCGCACTACCTCATATGATGCAGCGGCCGTGGTATCAAGTATGCCTCCAATCGATCTTTTGGCTGAAGAGAGAAGGAATATTTATATGGGAATGGATAAACGTGAAGCCAGGGAAATTCTCTTGGACAGCTGGCAGAAAGCGTGGGACGCCTCCAAAAAAGGCAGATGGACGCACCGCCTCATTGGTGACGTCAGATCCTGGTATACGAGGAAACACGGAGAAGTGTCCTTCCATCTGACCCAGTTTCTGACAGGGCATGGGTGTTTTGGTGTATATTTAAATAAATACTGCAATTTGGCAACTAACGAGTGTGCACAATGTGGTGTAAGCCCAGACAGCCCGGAGCATGCGATATTCCAATGTGATGCGTGGTGCAGATGGCGAAATGAAGAGTGCGTCTACCTGGAGGTCAATGATTTAACGGCAGAAAACGTAGTCACCATCATGCTGAGATCGAAGGCAAGCTGGGATAGAATATGTAGACTTATAATCAGAATTATGATGACAAGAGAGGAGGAAGAAAGGAAGATACAGCATTCTTAGTTTTAAGTGATTTGTTGTAGACCAGCGCGGTCAAATATAGGAGGGGTAGAGCCCTCCAATGGTTGTAAAATTAAAGTGTGAGGACACATTACATGGGCATTGTCCATGAGTGTGGCCACTATTATTCATTGTATTGTTGTTTTCAATAAATGATGGGGGCCAGGAGGAAGTCTCTTTAACCGGTGGTACGGTCCTGGCAACTTTGAAGAAGTGTGCCGTTTAGCGAATCTCACGACAGGAGCCGAGAGATCCCTGAAGCTGGATTTAGACCACCGACCGGAGGACCAGGGTAAGTACTAAAACAAAATGTTCTCTGAACGAACCTCAAGTCGAATCCCCGTGGAGTTACCTAACTCAAAAATCCGAAAACAGGGGGAAGGTCACTTTGTTATCGTTGGTTCATGAAATCACTCGCATTTGGGCCGCGGACGCTGTACTTAAGTTTTGACACGGCATACCCGCTGTCAAAGTTGCCGCCCCTTAAAACGCCATGGCGTAAATGTTTATTGCCGCCTGTGCTGGAACCCTGTGTTCACAATTCAATTATGGTAATTTAGTTGCAAGGCCAGATCGAAAATGGCACGTGTCAACGCAGCTAAAAAGATGTCCCTGCACAAATTGCTGTACAGCATACGATTGAATAGGATTAAAACTTGAACATCAGGGATTTTATACCTGCCGACTCGAAACCGACACCGGCAGGTTCGCGCACTTTTTATACATTTTACCACCAAAAGGGCGCTAGTGGGTCGCCCACAAAACACTTTTTAAACCGACGTCTCTGATGCACCGGAAGAAAACCGCTGATTCAAGTGTAATATTCCCTCGAAAGGTCGAATTGCACGCAACCAACCAAAAATATTTCAGGGCGCAACTTTGATCACTCCGCGCAAAACGGCCAGGAATTTCCAAAGAAAAGACAAAACTGCAGAGCGGCGTACAGCGTTTCGCATGACAGCCACCGCTGAACTAACTACACTTTATTAAACCGAGGACCAAGAGGGAACCTGTTGGTATTAATTT